AAAACGAAATGACAAATATTCTATCAAAACGTGAAAGCTTCAGCCAAAAAAGCACAGCTCTTTGAGGGGATGGAAGACTACAACAAAAAAAGACGGGAAATCCGCGTATCCTCTGCAAATTTATATTTTTTGTGGGCATTTGATGCTCTCGGTTAGCAACCCACTAATGCTCCATAGCATTCTCGTTCTGATGGCGATGATAAATTTCCATAAATGAAGCCGCAAATGCTTCCAGATGGAAGATTGCTCGGCTACCGCGAGTAAGTCGATGCTCAAAATCAGCGGCCGCAGCAATCACTTCGGCTTTGATCGAGTCATCACAGTAGTTCAACAGCTCTTGCAGCAATTTCTGAAAGCACTGAAATTTATACAGCATAATCGCATTGACTAACGAAACCTAAAAAGCACTGCGACCGTCATACTTTCACGAGGTCCTGTCGCGCGGTGTTGAGTTAAGGCCGGTATGACTTAATAGACCGAAACGTCTTATCTCCTTCTCTCTCATACTGTTATCTATCGTATTTCCACCAGTTAGGCTTCCAGGGTCAGTCTGGTTGCTTCAGTTTGCTAAAAAGGAAGTCTAACGGGTATCCAGGATCGAGCAAAATGGGGAATTTTCGTCGATGACAAAACAAAATATCAGAAAAAAAATTTTTTTTACACGTATTATATTATCAAATATTTTTAATCACAGGCCAAATACACAACCTGTATGCATATAAGTGCCAATAACAGTGATGGAGCTAGTGATAATTCAATCTGCGATAACAGACCAGTCCAGAGGATAAAAGCACAAAAAGCATATTTTTCCCTTCTGCCTCAAAGTCTACTTAGTGCAGTTGGACAAACTGATTCCTGTGAGCAACTTTTTGAGGCACATACGAATGTTAATGCAATTTTTAGAAGAATAATGAAAATGGTACCACAAATATGATAGATGGTGGTATACAGTGCCCGATACATTCATAAAATCTGCTGCGTATTTTGATCAGACTGAAAAAAATACACATAAAAATTTGAATAGATGGTAATAAAATTCTCAAAAAAGCATTGTTTTCACAAGTTAAAAGTTAAAATCCCCTCCGCGATCGCATTTCGTGGGTGGAGAAGGGCAATGGAATGCAATCCGAGCGATGGAAAATGTGACCACTCGCTGGCCTGTCTTTTAAATGCCCCCTTCCTCACCTTTTCGCATAAATCCCCCTCCTCCCAATCTTTTCCCAAGGACTATGCCGATAGCTTTGGTTTATATATTCCTGAGAAATTTGAAATAAATACGAACTGTTCAGGGTTTTGCTGCTGAACCATCATTTTTGCCGTTTCACGTAAATAAATTTCCCATTCTGGGACCGGAATTTCTTGGTTCTCTTTGAATGGATAGCTGAAAAAAATTTTTTTTTGAATTAATTTAAAGCTTTAGTAGATACGATGAAAGCAGAAGAATCTTGGAAAAAAAAAAGAAAAAACAGGAAGCAGGGCATTTTTCATTTCACCAGAACATGTTCGAAAGGACGAAATCCCATTTCGAATCTTTTTTAAGCTGAATATGGCAAAATTCTGTGATTTCAGCAAGAGGAATTTAAAGCAAAATTTACTGCTGTACTTTGGCAGCTTCAATTGCAAGTATCGCTCGCCGCATGTTGCCGTTTGCTTTTTGTACAACAGCTTGAACGACATGCTCCGGAACAGTGACGTTTTCTTGCCGGCAAACCTCTTCGATAGCTTTTGCGACCTTAAAAAATAGATTATACGGTGTCCAGCAAAAATAATAGACATTTTGAATTTTACCATTAACAATCTAACCAGTTAAAATATAAGCACAGATTATTATGGCCTAAATTCATTC